CTCGCCGATAGCTAGCATCAGGCAAGGCACGGACCCTTTGCCGGCTGGCCTCGCGCCGGCGCGCCCTCCCCAGGCTCAGATAGGAGATCGAGCTGTGGCACTCTCGCCTAGCGACGGATCGTACGCCCCCCACCACGCCGCCACGGCGAACGCGTACCGGGGACCCGACTGGACGCCACTGCTCGTGGCGATGGTGGTCCCGATCCTGCTGCTGCAGGTCGCGGTGATCCGGCCCAACTCCACGCAGCTCGCGCGGATGCGAGGTCAGGTCGCGCGCCTCGAGGCGAAGCTCGGCGAGCTGCAGGCGATGACGCCCGCCGCCGAGCACTCGGCCGGCTTGCTCGCGCACCTCGGGGCCCAAGAAGAGCGGCTCGCCGACGCCGAAGCGGCGCTCAACCGCATCGACCGTCTCGGGCGACGGCTCGTGGCGAGCATCGACGCCGCTCGCAAGGCGTCGCGCGGCCTCGACGGTCTGGACGCCCTCGCGACGAGGGTCGAGCAGCAATCAGCGCTGCTCTCTGACGCGAACGCGGCGCTGGCGACCCTGGCGGCGATCCCCGCCGAACTGCAGTCGTCCATCGACCAAGCAAGCCGCGCCGCGCCGGCGGTCAGCCGAGTCCGCGCCCTGGGCGAGCGTCTCGCCGAAGCGCAGCAGGTCACGGACGCGTCGCTCGAGCGCGTGGACGAGCTGGTGACGGCCCAAGAGGAGCTCGCGGTCGAGTCCGAGCGGATCGCGACGGCGACGGAGACGCTCGAGGGCCTCGTGAAGCTCGAGGAGCGGCTCAACGCCCCGCTGATGGCCGTCGCAGCGTCGCACCACCGGCTCGACAGCCTGCTGCGGCTGAAGGACGTCGTCCTCGAGCAAACCGAGGACCTGCCGGCCGCGGTGGAGACCTTCGCCCTGATGGTCGACCTGCAGCAAGACTACGTCCGCGCCGGCAGCGTCTTCCGCACCTTGCAGCGACTGGTGGCGGACCTCGTGCTGCTGGAGCCGTCGATCGCCCGCGTCGCGACGGTGGTTGAGCCGATGATCGACCGGGCGACGCTCGGCGGCCTGCCGGGCGCCGAGCTGCGGATGGTGATGCGTGAGCTCCGCGAGCGGCGGGTCGAGGCTCTCGCCGCCGCCCAGCGGCCCGAGGTCGAAGCCGAAGAAGAAGTGGCGAGCCTCTTGGGCTCGACGGTCACCAAGTGACCCCCTCGGCCGTCGGCTAGTAGCGGCCCCGAGGACACGGACGAAGCACTGGCGTTGCCAAGGGCTGGCAACCTCCCTAAGGAAACCGCGCGACGGGCGCCGCCGTCGTATTGGGTCGCCGAGGGAGGGTCGTCATGCGGTTGCTAGCAGTTGTCGTTGCAGCGGCTTGTCTAGCAGACGGACCTTCGGCTGCCGCCGACGAGCCGGTTGCGGCTGCTTCGTTCGCTACGGATCAGGCCGGCGCGACCGAAGCGGTCAGTGGCGCGCCGCCGCAACCCCAAGCCGTCGGTTTCGAGCTGACCAGCTATGTCTGCCCAACGGGCGGGTACTGCGAATCGCCGTGCGCGGGTTGCCGCCAGTCACGGATGACGGGGTGGTCGGCCGCGGTGGAGATCGGAGCGCTCCACCCGAGCTTGCCAGCGAGCACCTTTCGTATCGATGAAGAGGAAGTCGGTTTGTCCCTCGGCGTGGTCGTGGGACATGAAGGGCCGCGAGGGGGTGGCATCCGAGCCAGGTTCTGGGGCCTCGATACAGACGAGTTGCTGCTCAGGAGCAGCACGACTTCCGCAACCACGGCCACCGCAGACCTGGACGTCGCGCAGCTCGACGTCGACTTCTACCAGCGGCTCTGGGTCGGCGACACGAGTCTCGTGGTCGGGGTGGGGCCGCGTGCCGCGTTCTTGCAATGGTCCTTCATGGGCTTACCCAGCTTCGAGGCATCTGGCGCAGGAGGCGGGGTCTCCGTCGAGTTGCGTCGAGCCTTCTACCGCACTCATTGCAGTGAGGTCGCGCTGATCGGTACGGGCGAGCTGTCGCTACTGGCGGGAGAGGTTGAGAACAACGCCTTAGCAACCGTGACGGACGAAACGATGACAATCGCCGAGGTCGGATTCGGCGTCGAAGGTCGCCGCCGCTGGAGAAATGGCGACTTGCTGTTCCGCTACCTGTTCGAAACCCAGGTCTGGGATGCCGCGTGGTTTGGCGAGGTGGGCCTCACCGGCTCGCGGTTCCAGATCGGCTACCAGTGGTGACGTGCTAGCAAAGTCGGCGTTGCAGAGAACGCGTCGTCTGCGATCCAATCCTTGCCGCGGTGAACTGACACCCGGCCCAGGATCGGAGCGCAAGGATGCGATCGACCGTCGCGACGCTGCTAGCGCTACTGTGCCATGCCGGCATCGCCCGCGGAGAAGGCGACATCGACCTCGTGGGCTACGAGTCAGACCGGTTTGACCTGTCGCTGGACTCGGCGACGCTTGGTAGCGCGAGCAACACGATCTCCGCCGGCGACTTCATCGACCCACGGCAGCTGGAGTTCACCGGCTGGTCGTACGACGTCGAGGTCACGGCTTCCGAGCTGATAGGCTTTGGTGGCGACGCCGACTACTTCGGAGGTTTGAAACTCGCCGTCGGGCAAGAGCAGTCCGATGGCTCAGGGGTACGGGGCAGGCTGTGGGCATTCGGCGGCGCAGTCGAGACGAGAAACTGGCCGTATTACGTCAACGAATCGTCCGAGCTTGTCGGAGGAACGCTTAACGTCGACTTGTACCAACGGGTTTGGGCAGGGCAGACAAGCATCCTCTTTTCGATTGGTCCGCAGTTCGGTTCGATGCGCGTCTTCGAGTCTCGCTTCGACCCCGTGGGGATCGACGCGCTCGGCTTCGGGGCGGGAATCGAAGTACGCCGGACACTCTTCAGAACGGGGGAAAGCGAGCTAGCGCTGCTCGGGCATGGCCGGATCGGCTACATGCGAGGCGCGACGCACACTCGCAACCACAGTTTCGATGGCGTTGGCCGCTTCAACACAACCGACTACGGCATCGGCCTCGAATGGCGCAGGCGCTTTGATTCCGGCGACCTGATCGTCAACGGCGGCTACAGCATTCAAGGGTTCAGCACATCATCGTTTGGATACGATGAGTTCCAGACGGCGAGCGTTGGCGTCGGCTTCCAGTGGTGATCAGCCGTCCGCCGCCGCGTAGTCGCGCAGCTCCGCCTCGCGGAGCGACACGCCCTCTTGCACGAGCTCGAACGCCAGCGGTTTTTCCGGCCAGCCCATCGTGCGGAGCACCATGTCGAGCGCCGATTCGGGGCACTCGCCCGAAAGTTCGGTGCGGTGCATCCGCGGTTCGGGGACGCCGTCGGGCTGATGCTCCTGCATGTGACCGTTGAGGCGCCAGAACTCGCCGTCGGCGGTGTGGCCGGTGAGCAGGAAGAAGCCGTCTGGCTCGCAGTCGCAGCGCGGCAGTTCGAGCAGCCGTTGCTGCATGGTCTCGAACGACACGTCGAGCGTTTCGAGAAACGCCGGCGGCCCTCCGCACGAACCCGCCAGCGTGGGCAGCTCGAGACCACGCAACGTGACGACGGGGCCATCGACTGCCGTCGAAGGCAACGCGTACACGTTGGCGTGCAGCTTCAGCAGCGACATCGCGCAGGCGCTCACTCGTCACCGGGGAGCGTGTGGCCCATCTTGTCTCGCTTCGTGGCGAGATAGCTGGCGTTCTCCTCGGTTATCGGCGGCACGATCGGCGCCTGATCGACGACCTCCAAGTCGAAGCCGCCGTACATCACCGCGTCGAGCTTTTTCGGGTTGTTGGTCAGCAGCCGGATCCGCGACAGGCCCAGGTCCTTCAGCACCTGCATGCCGACACCGTAGTCGCGGGCGTCCGCCTTGAAGCCGAGGGCGTGATTCGCCTCGACCGTGTCCATGCCCTGGTCTTGCAGGGCGTAGGCCTTGATCTTCGCGGCGAGGCCGATGCCGCGGCCTTCCTGTTGCAGGTAGATGACGGCCCCAACGCCGTCGGCGCCGATCTGCTGCAACGCCATCTGTAGTTGGTCGCCGCAGTCACAGCGGAGCGAGCCGATCACGTCGCCCGTGAAGCAGCTCGAGTGAATCCGCACGAGGGGCGCGTCCGCCTTCGTCAGGTCGCCGAAGACGATCGCCACCGGCTCCATCGCCTCGTGCTTCACATCGTAGACGATGATCTTCGCCGTGCCGTGCTTGGTTGGCAGCGCCGCCTCGGCCGAACGGCTGACGAGCTTCTCGCGCACGCGGCGGTAGGCGATCAAGTCCTCGATCGAGATGATCGGCAGGTCGAACCGCTTCGCCAGGCCGTGCAACTGTTCGCGGCCGGCGCGGTCGCCCGTCTCGTCGAGGATCTCGCACAAGACACCGGCCGGGGTGAGCCCGGCGAGTCGCGCCAGGTCGACGGAGGCCTCGGTGTGCCCCGCGCGGCGGAGCACGCCCCCCTCTTTGGCCACCAGCGGGAACATGTGGCCGGGGCGGACGAAGTCCCCGGGAGTGCTCGACGGGTCGCACAGGGCGCGGATCGTCGTCGATCGCTCGTCCGCCGTGATGCCGGTGCGGGCCGTCTTGTGGTCGACCGACACGGTGTAGCCGGTCTGCAACGGGGCGTTGTTCAGGTCGTCATCGACCATCATCGGCAGCCGCAGCCGCTCGGCGACGTCGGGCAGGATCGGCGTGCAGAGCTGCCCGCGTCCGTGGGTGATCATGAAGTTGACCGTCTCGGGCGTCGTCTTGTCGGCCGCGGCGATGAAATCGCCTTCGTTCTCGCGGTCCTCAGCGTCGACGACGATGACGATCCGCCCGGCGGCGATCGCCTCGACCGCCTGGTCGATCGTAGAAAAACTGGTGGGCACGGTGGGCGGCTTCGCCTCTGGGTTGGGGAGCGGTGGGTCGGGGACCTAGTATAGAGCGGACGCCCGACTACGGCGATTCACAGCCGTCGGCGGCAGCCGGCGGTCCTCCACGCATGGAACCGCCGGCTGCCGCCGACGGCTGAGGTGCCCGATGGGTGACAAGCTCGAATCCAACGTCGCCCCCCTCGGCGCGGAGGAGTACATCGAGCAGGCGCACTTCTTCGGCATGCTCGCCGAGCGGCTGGCGGAGAACGCCCCGGCGCAGGAGGTGCTTCAATCGGTCCGCGAGGAGGTGCTCGCGACGACGAAGCTGCCCTTGGCGATCGACTTCTTGCTCTCCGAGCTCCGCCACGCAGGGGTGATGGGCACGGCGATGGCTCAGCTCGGCCATTACTTCACGCCGCTGCAGGCGTACATCATGGCGGAGGGAGAGAACGAACGCGGGCGATTCGACATGCGGATCGGCCTGGAGGTCCTCTCCCAAGAAGCGGCGTACCGGGGTGGCGTGGCAGAAGGCGGCCGGCGTGAACCGACCCTCCAGGGGCTCTTCTTCTATCAGTTCGAAGTCCTCTGCCGGAACCGACTCGGCTACGACCGCGGCCTCGAGGCGGTCGCCGGCGACCCGGCCTACCCCGACGCGTGGAGGCAGTGGATCCTCGCCAGTCGCCACCAGGTGGGGATCGTCGACATCGCCGACCTGATCTACGTCCACAGCGAGCACGCCCGCAAACGCGGCGGCAGCGGCGAGGGGATCGTCCTGTTCGGCGACCGCGAGGGCCGGATCGCCCTGGCGAACCGGACCAAGGACCCGGCCTACCTGTTCAACTCGCTGCACCGTCAACTCGGATACCCGGAGCCGCCGCGGCCTAGGCCGATCGACCCGGAAGAGTCGGCCATCCCACAGATGGCGCGGCGGCTGGAGCAACTGGAGAAGCGGATCCAGTTGCTCGAAGAGGAACAGCGCGGCGGTTTCGACCTGTCGAAGTTCTACGAGAAGCCGGGCGACGGCCGCGCGTAGCCGCAGGCCGGTTCGATTCGGCAAGGTGATCCGATCGCGGAAAACAGAGAGTTTTCCGACATGAATGCGGTTCTCGACGGAATACGCGGGTGCTAAGCTCAACCTCTGAGCGAGACACGAGTGGCTTTCTGCCAAGCGGCGCCTACGCTACCCCTGACGCATGCCGTCCCTGCCGGGCGGCGACCAACCGACCTCACGCTCGCCGGGCGAAGCCCCCGCCGGCGTGGATGCCCCCCAGGCGACGCCTCCCCGCCGCACCAGCCGTGGACTTTCAGCTCAGTCTGCAGGCCGAGACCATTCGTTCGGTCTATCCCGAGACGCCCGTGGCCGTCGAGCCGACCGTCCCCGTCTCGGAAGTCGTGCGCCTGATGCAGGCGCAGAAGACCGGCGCGGTGCTGGTGGTCGAGAACGATCGCCTGGTCGGTGTCTTCACCGAACGCGACGTGCTGAAGTTGCTGGCTGAGAAGGCCGACCTGGACGGCCCCGTCAGCGCCGTCATGTCGGACGACCCGACAACGGTCACCGACAGCGACACGGTCGGCGAAGCGATCAAGCGGATGAGCGAGGGCGGCTACCGCCACCTGCCGGTCGTCTCCGCCAGCGACACGCAGGCGCCGGCCGGCATGGTCGACGTGCGCGGCATCATGCGCTACCTCGTGGAACACTTCCCCAGCACGATCTACAACCTCCCACCCCACTCCGAGCGAGCGACCGCCGAACGCGAGGGCGCCTGACACCGCAGGCCCCATCGCCACGCGAGCCGACGCGACCGACGAAGACCCCATGTCGACCGTTGCCGAGAAACCGATCGAAGAACTGACCGAAGCCACCGTCCGCTTCTGCGGCGACTCGGGCGACGGCATGCAGCTGGCAGGGACCCAGTTCACCACGACGTCCGCCCTGGCGGGCAACGACGTGGCGACGTTCCCCGACTTCCCCGCCGAAATCCGCGCCCCGCGCGGCACGAAGGCGGGCGTCTCCGGCTTCCAGGTCCACTTCTCCAGCCAAGAGATTTACACGCCGGGCGACACGGTCGACGCCCTCGTGGCGATGAACCCGGCGGCTTTGGTCACGAACCTGGGCGACCTCCGCGACGGCGGCATCCTGGTCGTCAACGAGAGCGCCTTCGACAAGAAGGGCCTCGAGCTGGCCGGCTACGAGGGGAACCCGATCGAGGACGTCGCCCTCTCGCAGTTGGAGGAGAAGTACAAGGTCTATAAGGTCGACATGACCAAGCTGGTACGCGACGCCGTCAAGGAGTTCGGACTAAGCACGAAGGAAGCGGATCGCTGCCGCAACTTCTTCGCGATGGGCCTCGTCTTCTGGATCTACGGCCGTTCGCCCGAGCCAACGCTGCGGTTCATCGAGACGAAGTTCGCCAAGCGGCCCGACGTCGTAAACGCCAACACCGCGGCGCTGAAGGCAGGGTACGCCTACGGCGAAACCGTCGAGGCGTTCGACACCCAGTTCCATGTTCCCAAGGCGGAACTCGAGCCGGGCACCTATCGCAGCATCATGGGCAACACGGCCCTGTCATGGGGCTTGGTCGCGGCGGCGAAGGTATCGAACAAACGTCTGTTCCTCGGCGCCTACCCGATCACGCCCGCCAGCGACATCTTGCACGAGCTCTGCAAGCACAAGCACTTCGACGTGCTGACGTTCCAGGCCGAGGACGAGATCGCGGCGATGACGTCGACCATCGGCGCGTCGTTCGCCGGAGCGATGGCGGTCACGGCCAGCAGCGGCCCCGGCATCGCCCTGAAGGGCGAGGCATTGGGGCTGGCGGTCATGATGGAGCTGCCGATGATCGTCATCAGCGTGCAGCGTGGCGGCCCATCGACCGGCCTGCCGACCAAGACCGAGCAGTCCGACCTGTTCCAAGCCGTCTTCGGCCGCAACGGCGAGTGCCCCATGCCGGTCATCTCCGCCAGCAGCCCGGGCGATTGCTTCGACGTCGCCCAAGAAGCCTGGCGGCTCGCGACGCGCTACATGACGCCGGTCTTCTTGATGACCGACGGGTACATCGCCAACGGCTCGGAGCCTTGGAAGATCCCGAAGGCGGCGGACCTGGCGAAGATCGAGATCGAGCACCCGACGTCGCCCGACAACGGCGACGCGTTCTACCCCTACCAACGCAACGAGCGGCTCGCCCGCCCGTGGGCGTTGCCCGGCACCGCGGGGCTCGAGCACCGACTCGGCGGCCTCGAGAAGCAAGACACCACCGGCAACGTCAGCTACGACCCGGACAACCACCAACACATGGTGGACACCCGGGCCACGAAGGTCGCGAACATCGCCGACGACATCCCCGAGCAAGCGGTCGACGGCCCCGAGTCGGGCGACCTCTTGGTCGTGAGTTGGGGCGGCACGTACGGCTCATGCCTGTCCGCGACGCGGCTCGCGCGCAAGCAAGGCAAGAGCGTCGCTCACGCTCACTTGCGGTACATCAACCCGATGCCGAAGAACCTCGGCGCGTTGCTCGGGAGCTACAAGAAGGTGCTGGTGCCCGAGTTGAACACCGGCCAGCTTCGGATGTTGCTGCGAGACAAGTACCTCATTGACGCCATCGGCTTCAACAAGGTGCAAGGCAAGCCGTTCAGCGTCGGCGAACTGGTGACCAAGATCAGCGAGCTAGCGTGAAGCGACTGCGGAGTTCGGATTGCGGGATGCGGAATCCGAACGACGCACCGACCAACCTGAGTCCGCATTCCGCAATTCAAAATCCGCAATCGCCCTAACGGGGCGCTGTCCGTGCCGAAGGGCGTCCACCGCCCATCACCGCCATGTCCGTCGACCTCTCTCTGCCCGTTCTCAAGCCGACCGACTTCGCCAGCGACCAAGACGTCCGCTGGTGCCCCGGGTGTGGCGACTACTCGATCCTCGCGCAGATGAAGAAGGTGATGCCGACCCTCGGCATCCCCCGCGAGCAGATCGTGTTCATCTCGGGCATCGGCTGTTCCAGCCGCTTCCCGTACTACATGAACACGTACGGGCTGCACACGATCCACGGCCGCGCGCCGGCGGTCGCCACCGGGCTGAAGACCGTGCGCCCCGACCTCCACGTTTGGGTCATCACGGGCGACGGCGACGGGCTGTCGATCGGCGGCAACCACCTGATGCACTGCATCCGGCGGAACATGGACCTCAACATCGTCCTGTTCAACAACCGGATCTACGGCCTGACCAAGGGCCAGTACTCGCCCACGTCGCCGCTGGGCCAGCGGACCAAGAGCACCCCGATGGGGGCCATCGACAACCCGCTGCACCCGCTGTCGATCGCGATCGGCGCCGAGGCGACGTTCGTCGCCCGCAGCATCGACACGAACATCAAGCACCTCGGCGAGACGCTGAAGCGCGCCGCCGAGCACACCGGCACGGCGTTCATCGAGGTCTACCAAAACTGCAACGTCTTCAACGACGGCGCCTGGGACTACGCCAAGGACCGCGACACCAAGGAAGACACGACGCTCACCCTCGAGCACGGCAAGCCGCTCATCTTCGGCAAGGAACGTGACAAGGGCATCCGCCTCAACGGGCTGGAGCCCGAGGTCGTGCAACTCGGCAAGGGCATCACCGAGGACGACCTTTTGTTCCACGACGAGAAGTGCCCCGAGCCGAGCCTCGCTTACCTGCTCAGCCGGATGCGCTACGAGGACGGCTTCCCCGAGCCGATCGGCGTGTTCCGCGCCGTCGACGCCCCGCGTTACGACGAGTTGGTGAACGACCAGATCGAAGTCGCGACCAAAGAGAAGGGCGCCGGCGACCTCGACGCGCTGTTCAACTCGGGCGAGACCTGGACCGTGGCGTGACGCGATTGCGGAATCCGGATTGCGGATTGCGGATTCCGTTGCGGTTGATCTCCTCCCTCGCCAATCCGCAATCCGCAATCCGCAATCCGCGATGCTTGTTTGTCCCGCCTGTGGCGCCGACGACCTGATCGAGGGCGTCGACACGTGTGAGCACTGCCTGCAGCCGCTCACCGACATGTTCATCCGGGTGCCGAAGAGCTCGGTCGAGGCGGACCTGCTCCGCGACCTGGTCGAGGACCTGCCGGTCCACGAGCCGATCGTCGTCGGCCCCACCGCCACGGTCGGCGAGACCCTGCGGCTGATGGTCGACCAGTCGGTCGGTTGCGCGCTCGTGGTCGTCGACAACCAACTGGCCGGTGTGTTCAGCGAGCGTGACGCGCTGCTGAAGCTCGGCGTGAACGGAGGCTCGCTCCACGGAGAGCCGATCGTCAAGTACATGACCCCCAACCCGGCGATCGTCTCGGCGGACGACAAGATCGCCTTCGCCCTGCACAAGATGGATCTGGGCGGCTACCGCCACCTGCCGGTCATGGAGGGCGACCGCCCCGTCAGCCTGATCAGCATCCGCGACATCCTGCGGTATCTGACCGAGCACAACCGCTCCGCTTAGGGGCGAGGGACGAGCGCCCCTCGCTCCCCGAGCAGAGCGAGTCGCTCACCGCAGGTCGCTGAGCTTCGCGCCGAAGTTCACGTGCAGCGCCACGCCGTCGATCACCAGGGCGGGCACCGACTCGACCCCGGCCGCGGACGCCTCGTCGATCCGGCCCGGCGTGTCGCCGAGGTGCACCACCTCGACGTCGTACGACTTCGGGTCGAGTGCCCCGGCGAGCTTCTGCTCGGCGGTCACGCACACGGGGCATCCGGCGTGGTAGAAGTAGGCTTTGGCGGCCATCGCAGCAGTTCCTTGGGCTGGGTTAAGGGCGCGCCGTCGAGGTTCGACGGCTACCGGCACGATTCCCAACGAACCCTGGGCTTGGAAGGCAGTTACCAATCGGTAAGGGGCTATCCGAATGGACGGATTTGAAGACAACACAAGCCGGGCGTCGGAGCAAACGCTCGAAGGTTCTTCCCGGACCGTTGGACAGATGGTCGAGTCGATCGTCGGCTGTAAGTGGTCGCTCGCCGTGCTGGCGGCGCTACGCGCAGGGGTCGTCCGTCCGGGCGAGGTCGAACGCCGCTGTGCGGGCATCTCCAGCAAAGTGCTCTACGAGCGACTCCGCAAGCTGGAGCGGTTCGGCTTGGTGCAGCGCCACGTCCACGAGGTCGTCCCCCCGCACGTCGAGTACCACTTCACGCCGCACGGCGAGCGGTTCTTGACGATCCTCGACGCGATCGACGAGGTGCAGCGCGGCTTCGACGCTGCCGGCGCCGGAAACTGAACGGTGCGAGCCGTCGCCGGACGGTCGGCGCCGCGGTGGTCTTGGCCCCGGGTCGCGACGTCCCGTACCCTCCGCGCTTGGGCCGGGCGGAACCGGCTCAGCAGAGGACTGGGAAGGGAATCGACGATGCGACTCTTGCTAGCGGCGACAGCAGCGTTGGCGTGGCCTCTCGCCGCCACGGGCCAAGAAGAGACGCCAACGGCCCAGGGGCCGATCGTCGCGCCGACGTTCGAGATCGACATCGAGCACGGTGAATCGCGACCCGTGCTCGACGGGGTCGGCTGGGTGCTCGGCGTGCCGAGCAAGGTGCTGCTGCTCGACAAGCGGGCGGACAATCACGACGTCTCCGAGCAGACCGTCGACGAGGCGGCCGCGTTCCTTGCGGAGAAGCAAGTCGAAGGCGTGAAGGTCCGCGTGAACCAATACGACCCGCTCGGCGAGTGGCGCCGATTGGCCGAGAACGACCGCGTCGGCCTGCCGTGGCGGGCGACCGTCGGCGCGCTGTACACGCTCGGCTACACGATCGTGCCGGGCCGCCTCGTGGGCGGCGACTGGTACAACCCGTTCACGGACACGGTGCACGTCTACTCCGACGTGCCCGCGCTCGCCCTCGAGCAAGCGGCGCTCGCCGAAGACAACCACCAGCGCTCACACCCCGGGCTGTACTCGGCAACGAAGCTGCTCCCGTTGGTCGGCCTGGTGCACGAGGCGCGCGCGAAGCAGGCGGTCTTCGAGCACGTCGACGAACACGGCACGACGGAGCAACAGGCCGAGGCGCGGCGGGTGCTGCACCCGCAACTCGGCACCGAGATCGGCGGTCAGGCCGCCGTCTTCCTGCCGCAGGCCAACGCGCTGCTCGGGGTGGGCGGCGCGGCTATTGGCCACGCGGTTGGGCGCTATCAGGCGAGCCAGATCGAGGCCGAGCCGGAGACGCCGAGAGAGACCGCCGAACCGACGCGCTTACCGGCCGTCAGCGAAGAGCCTATTCGTCCGCTGGGGGGTTAACCCACTCCTCGAAGGCGTCCTCCATAAAGCCTTCGCCTTGGATCAACTCGCCACCGAGGTGGCCTTCCCAGGCGACCGCCGCCGCGAGGCCGATCAGGCCCAAACGCCAGATCACGCCGAGTCGGCGGCTCTTCTTCACCTGGCTGATGATCGCGACGACTGACAGCCCGAGTGAGACGAAGGCGAGCGCCACGCCCGTCCAGCGGTGTTTGACGAGGTGCTCCGACCAGTCGCCGAACCCATCGTCCCACGTCCACGGCTCGCCCCACGAGTACTCGGCGTACCACCAACCGCTTGCCACCGCGGCGACCGACGTGATCGCCCCGCCGATGAGGCACGCCACCGGGATCTGGTTTCGCAACGAGGGGACAACCACGCCGACCACGACGAAGAAGGCGCCGAACAGCCACAGCGCAATCGGCATGTGAACGGCCGCGTGATGCGTCAGCGCCAGGAACGCCGGCGCCCGTTCGATCAGACCGGCCCAGTCGGTCCCCTCGTCGCCGGCGATCGGCTCCTGCTCGGCCGCCACCTCATCCTCGACCGCCTCGTTGTCCGCGACTTCCGCGGGGACCTCAACGACCGTGTCGGCCTCGGCCGCGTCGGGCTTTTGAGCGTCAATCGGGGCCGGTTGGTCGGGAACCAGCACGTCCGGCTCGGCGACCGCAGCGGGCGGTTCCGCAACGGCGGCGTCCTCGACAGGCGCCGCCGTCTCCTGTGCCGACGCCGGGACGCCCCAGGCGGCGAGCATGAACAGCAAGGCGATTTGAAGACGCATCGAAGACTCCCCTCGTGATCAGGTCGCTAGCGATGACTCCATCGTAGTCCGACAGACTGAACGCCGTGAGACCAATCCCGCTAGCGTCGGGCCGCTCTTGGTGAAGGCCCGGCCTTCGGCTATTTACGCCCGCCGACTTGAGTCGAAAGCGACCGATTTCTGGCACGGAGCCGCAGGAGGCGGCGCGATGACCCCCGTTCGACTCCTTGTCGCCCTCTTGTTCGTCGCCCTGATGTGGCAAGCGAACGCGTCTGCGCAGTCGGGCTACTCGCAGTTCACGCCCCCGCCGGGGTCCAGCCCGGCGCCGCCGGTGGGATCGACATGGGTCGCCCCGTCGACGGGCCCGACCTACGCGCAGCCCGGTGTGACGTACGGTCAGCCGTACACGGGAGTCCCCAACGCGGCGACCTTCGGCGCTCCGCCCGTGACCTACGGCGCCCCGCCTGCCACGTACGGGCAAGCGCCCCTGACGCAGCCCAACTTCAACGCCTATGCGACGCCACAGCTCGCGCCTGCCACGCCGCTCGTGCCCGTCACGCCCGGGGTGGCGGTCGTCGGCGCGGCGCCGCTGCTCACGCCGCGCGCCGGCGGCGGCGCCCTGTTCGGCGAGGACGTCGGACTCGATTCGAGCTCCGCGAACCTCTACGGCTTCATCCCGCTGCTGCAAACGCCGGGGCAAAGCGTCACGTTCTTCGAGACGCGGGCGCTCGAGTTCTTCGAGAACAACGGCGCCCACGGGTTCAACCTGACCGGCGGGCACCGCTGGGTCTCGCCCGGCTTGGGAAGGGTCCACGGCGGGCACGTTGGCTACGACTTCCGCAACACGGCCGGCTTCAACTTCTCGCAGATCAGCTTCGGCGGGGAGAGCCTCGGCGAGGTGTGGGACTTCCACTTGAACGGCTTCATCGTCGTGGGCGACGAACGCGAGTCGCTGCCGTTCACGAACCCGACCTTCGATGGCAACAACTTGGTCGCGACCGCCAACTTCCTGAATGCGTACGACGGCTTCGACGGCGAGATCGGCTTGCACCTCACACCCGACAGCCCCTCGCTCGACACCAAGATCTACGTCGGCGGCTACGCCTTGTACGGCGGCACGGACGACACGGGCGGCATCCGCGTGCGTGGCGAGATCACGCTCTGGGACCGCCTGACCGGCGGCGTCGGGTTCCAACACGACTCGACCTTCGACACGACGTTCAACGCGACGGTGACGTTGCTCTTCGGCGGCTTCGGAAGAGACGACACGCCGGGCATCCGGAATGTCGCGCACCGACTCGACGACCCGATCCGCAAGAACGCCCACATCGTCGTCGGCCGCAGCAGCCAACGCACGACGATCCTCAACCCGGACAACGGCAACCAGCCGCTCACGATCCTGCACGTCGACAGCAACGCGGCCGCCGGTGGAACGGGCACGTTCGAGGCGCCGCTCGACGCCCTGCCCGCCGACCCGTCCGAGGACATCGTCCTCGCCCACGCCGGCAGCGCCTTCGGCGACGAGCCGATCACGCTGAACGACGCGGGCCAGCGGCTGCTGGGCGACGGCGCCACGCACACCGTCGAGTCGCAGTTCGGAACGCTCGTGCTGCCCCGGGCGAACAACCTGCTCGCGACGCCGACGATCACCGGCGTGACGGGCGACGCGGTGACGATCGCCGCCGACGGCGTCGAGGTGTCGAACTTCGAGATCGTCAGCCCGACCGGCGACGGAATCGTCGGCGCCGGCGTTTCCGACGTCGACATCAACCGCAACACGATCACGGGCGCCGACAACGGCATCGCGCTAGCCGGAACGGTGAGCGGGTCGATCCGCAACAACGTGGCGTCGGGCAGCG